AGGTGGACAATAAAGAGTGTTGTGATTCACATGGATATCCTCCACAGAGGTGACAGGCTTCCTCTTCAGACATGATGGAATAGGGCAACCAAATTCCTGTCATCCCTTGGGATTCAATAAAGGCATTATTCTGTCAACTTTATTAAATGAATGTGATTGTAAACATTTTATGAACAGCCTAATTCATTTTAAGCTTTATTTTTCTGTCTTTTTTGTTGCAAAACCATGAAAACATTTCAAAGGCAGTTTGTCTTGCATGTTCACACTCAAAAAACAAAAAGTAGACAGGTGGACTCTTTTATCCCATGATTATTTTTTTTAATGAGGGCTAACTCTGTTATAAGTGTGGACCTTTGAAGAGGCAAGGATATTAATGAGGTAGAGTACTGCTACTCTTTTCTGATTTTCATAAATCTCTCTCTGACTATAGACGTACCACTGGTGTTATCTAACTACTCTTTTTCAAAAGCATTACACTGGGGGCACAAAGCATATTTGGGCTCCATTCATACTAGAGAATCATAGTGCTGTGATTGCACTTTTATTTATTTATTTAAACGTTTTGTATACCGGCCTTCTCACCTCTCTTGAAGGACTCAGACCGGTTTCCAACCATAATATCACATACAGTCAATAAAACATCATAATACATATTACAATAAAACATTAAAACAGCAATTACAATCAATAACTATAATGGTCAGTCGTCACACTTAAATCGTTGCTCATCATCCTCCATCCATATCTCAGGGTGTTGGCTCACCCGTCGAATGCCTGTCTCCATAACCAAGTCTTCACCTGTTTCCTAAATGTCAGGATAGACGGGGCGGTTCTGATCTCCAGTGGGGAGATCAGAACCATGTTTCTTTTTTGTATCAATATAATACTTATATAAATATATTTTAATGCTTTGTTTTAATGTTTATATGATTGTTATGTCTCATGTTTAATGGTTTTCATGATTTTAATTTAGATTTATATGTTAGTGTTCAGTTATTATGATTTTTCTTTTTTCACATATGTTGGCATTTAATTTTTCCCGTAAGTATATTGTAAAACACCTTTAGAATTCTAATAGCACAAAAATGGAAAAATAAGGAAACTCCAACCAACGAAGACTGGATTCAGAAGATAATGGAATTTAAGGATTTGGATAAACTGTCACAAATACTAGAAGAACAAAGTAAAGGAAAACAAGTAAACTGGAAACAATTTGAAGAATATATTAAAAAGCAATCTAAGCTGGACATTTAGGATGCTACATATAAGATGAAATACAAATTAATAGGAACACAAGAAGAGCTGTCAAACCAACGACCTTCTCCCTGCGGACTGAACGGGAGTCACACTTTCATCCCCCCCCCTTTTTTTCCTTTTTCTTTCTTTCTCTCTCACCTACCCCTAGATTCACAGGACCCCACCCCTACCTACCCCATCCCCATTCCTTCCCCTCTCCTCCTACACAAACCTCTAAATTTTCCTACCTTTCCTATCCAGAAATATGTTCCCCCTCTTTCACTGTATATGCAAAAAACTCAATAAAAACTTATTAAAAAAACACCTTTAGTCCCCCCAGAGTTAAGAAAGGTCGTATATAAATATAGTACATAAATAAATAAATTTCTGCCCTATGGAATCTAGGCAGTTTAAAGAATGGCGTCTAGCAGTCATGCAGTTCCTTTGCTGACTCTGACCAAACTACAAATCCCAGGACTCCATAGGATGTTTCCATGGCATTTAAAATGGAACCATAACACTATAATTGAGTAGCATGGATCACTATTTCTTAAAGAACTGTTAATGTCACATCAAATATTAATTATGCCAGTGTGGTGTGGTTTGAGTGTTGGACTGGGACACTGGGAGACCAGGGTTTGACGCTCCAATTGACCATGGAAACCCACTCGGTGATTCTGGGAAAGTGACACTCTCCAAGCTTCAGAGCAAGGCAAAGGAAATTCCTAACTGAAAAAGTTCTGCCAAGAAAAACCTTACAGTAAATCATAGGAGCCCCCAGTGGTGCAATGGGTTAAACCCTAGTGCCGGCAGGACTGCTGACCAACAGGTCAGCAGTTCGAATCCGGGGAGAGCAGGTTGTGCTCCCTCTGTCAGCTCCAGGTCTCCATGCGGGGACATGAGAGAAGCCTCCCACAAGGATGGTAAACTATCAAACATCCCCTGTGCAACGACCTTGCAGACAGCCAATTCTCACACACCTAAAGCAACTTGCAGTTTTTTTCCGCTCCTGACACAAAAAACCCCATAGAAATAACTTGAAAGCACACAACAACAGAATTTATTTTGAACTAGTAACATGTTGGTACCAGAAGCTGTAGGCTATATTTCAGAGGAAGGAATTGGTAAAACCACCTCCGAGTAATCCTTATCTAAGAAAACCTATGAAATTTATGTTGTCACCCTAAGTTGACAGTTAACATGAAGGAACATAAGCATGCACATACATATCACTTTGATGCAATAAAACAGTCAAAACCTTGTTAGACCCATCTACCACAGATACAAAATATACCCACCATGAGCACTGTTTTTTCCCTTCAGTTTTTTTAAAAAAACACAGTTACACAGTTATTTAGCTCTAGCACTCAAAAGAGAACAAATCCAGTTGCATTTTCTAGACATTATGCAATTCTCCAAATCTAGCACATAGGCACAAGAGTTAAGCTCCCACCGGAGATTGTCTGGATCTCATGAGTGAAGAAAGCACTTTCCAGCAACTTCCAAAGGGACTGGAAAAATATTCTACTCATCAAGGTGTCTAATTTCCCTGCTGACTCCAGTAAATGGGAATCAAGCGGGGCTGCTTAGCAGTTGCTAATGAAACACATTTCTGAAAGCGATCAGTGATGAAGAGGAACCATGAACCGCAGATTTCAGAGACAATTTTGTTGGGACTGGGAACCCTAGCTTATCTTTTGTCTCTGAGCAATCCTAGGTCGAAATCACTGGCATGACACACATCTCAGGATAAATTAAGAGCACTCATATTTGGTAATGGACCGCTCAATGCCATTTCTGTACCCGAGATAGAAAAGCAAATGGCATCTCTATGACTCATCCAAATCAATGTGCATTGTACCCAAACCCATCTGAATAGCCCTCAAAGGAAAAATAAAGTTGAAATTACTGCAATAGCAAATTAAATACCCAACAGCTTATTGACCTTTCATGAAAACCAACATCTGCTGCCTAAGGTCCCTTCAACACAGCTGAATGAAATCTCACATTATCTGCTTTGAACTGGAATATATGGTGGTGTGGACTCAGATAACCCAATTCAAAACAGATATTGTGGGATTTTCTGCCTTGATATTCTGGGATATAGGGCTGTGTGGAAGGGCCCTCAGCCAGCCCTCACTTTGGGAACACTGAGCAGGCAATTAGAGGTGAGTATTAACTTTTACTTCTGATTTCACCAAACACTGCCATTTCACTATGGGAATATTTGCTTGTGCGGAACAAAAATTATTTTGCCTTTGGAACCATAAAGGGATTTTCAACAGCCAAAGCCTTAAATGACACCTGAATGAAGAAACCCATTTTAAATCCTAATTGCTGCAGATAAAGTTTTAGAGAACACCAGGGAAGAAAAAGGATTATTAGGGAGGAGATAAGGGGATGAAGGAAGGAAGGCAGAGCAAGTGATAGGGTGAAAAACAAGGATAGAAGAAAGAATAAATGGAAAGTCCAAAAGGTCAATAGGGATAGATGCGTCTGCATTAAAGAAATAGCAGCCTAGGAAGGGCTGTGGCAAAGCTCACAAAGCACCTCAGCACAAAAGACATGTGCTCTTGGTGGTCAGGCAGTATACCCAGGAGGAAAGGAAAGCAAGTATGACCTTTTCCTTACAACCTTATCGTTTTAACATCAAATTTTCACATAGTAAGCTATTCAAACTAATGTGGTTGATTTTTTTAAAAGATTCCAGAATTTTAATGCTTCATACTGTGAAATGCTGCTCCACAATGTGCAAACATATAAACAACCTGCATTTGAGAAGAATGCTCTGGACAACTATTTCAGACGGCTTTTGGGAGAGAAAGGGGCACTCCAAATTCTGGAACAATCTGCATTGTCCCTTGACTGCTGATCGTCCTGGAATGTTCAGAAACCCAGGCTGGATCTTTCAACAATGAATATAATCATGGGAGGGCTATTTGATTTCCAGGCCTAGGGCACGGGGTTGGAAAACAAAAAGTGAGTTTGGTTCCTCTATGGGAAATGCTGAGAGGAAAGCTGGGGAATGTAGTGGATTTTCTGAGACCTTCCCCCCCAAAAAATAAAATAACAGAAATGGTTGCAAATCCATTTACAGTTCTGATAAACAGTTTTGAAAACTTGATTAAAAGTGACCTATCTTTCCTTTAGGCTTTAAAAGAGGAAAATTACTCATTTTCAATAAAAAGGTTTTTCTGGCGACTCTGAAGAAGTCGTAGGCCATAAGAACATCCTATCTGAGAATAAAGCCTTGCTTCTCTTAGAAAGGATCAAAGCTGGGCAGCATGTGCTCTGCACACATATCTCAAAGCATATGCTTCACATAGAAAATATCCTATGTTCAATGCTGGCAAGCCCAGTCCAAAGAACCAGGCCACGAGTGATAGGAAAGACTTTTGCCTAGGACCTTGGAGGTCTTCAGCTAGCTGGAGGAGAAAATATCTAGACACATAAGTACTGAACTGTTGCAAAGCAACTCCAGATGTTCCCACATGAATGCCTTTTCCATGCCCCCCATGCATAGCCAGACTTCATTCTGATGTCAGACATCGTAGGAAACCATAACCAGCATGGACTGCTTTTATCACCTGCCAATCCTTAAACCAAGCATCTCACTTTACACTGTCTTGCAAGCATTGGGAGCATTTAAAGTAGTGAAACCCAACTGCCATCTCAAATCTCATTCTAGTCCTCAGTTTCAAAATCCAGCCCCTTACCCTGCCACCAACTCCTTCACCAAAAGTGAGGAAAGAATCCAATGATACCTGGTCATCCACTTTGTGGGCTATGAGTGTGGCTCCTTCTTCCAATTCTGTCATGCTGATTGGCCGTATGCGAAGTGCCACCTGTAATGTAAGGAAGAGATGGGTGACTTACAGAGTATCCTGCAGTAAAGGATGCAAGAGGGGAGAGACCAAGAGTAGTTAAGTACACACCTGCATAGGAGCCATGGCCATCCAGAGGTACAGCACACAGAGAATGTTCCTTCCGTGCACTTCTAAACTTAACTGAAGACACTGCATTGACGCTTCTGGCTAATACCTTCCATCTCCTCCCTGCCTAGTGAGTGCCTCACCTGTCTATTAAAGACAATCATCAGTGGCTCTGAGGCCCTGATGGGTAGCAGAAAACAGACAATTGCAGTATTTTTCCTGGAAGAAAGGAAACACCGCTCAGAGAACTCATCTTTGGCTTTGCACACCGGCCCAGCCACTGATCGGCAGGGGCCGCTTTAGAACACGAGCCAAACAATGTTAATTTCTCTCCCCCCACACACACTCCCCCTCCTCTCAAGCCAAGAGCTTGAATTTGGAAGATGTTCAAATGTTTGAGCCATTTGCTGATTTAAAAAAAAACACACAACCCAATCTTGACCACTAAAAAGGAAAAGAAGCTTGCGGTACCTTGAAGATGAAAAGGTTTCATTTGGGACAAGATTTCTTCGTACAAAAGAAGTCCACAAAACTTTATGCTAACTAAGGGCCCTTGCAGACAGGCCCTATATCCCAGGATCTGATCCCAGGTTTCAATTTAAACTGGATTATACGAGTCCACACTGCCAGATAATCTGGGATAAGCAGAAAACCTGGGATCAGATCCTGGGATACTGGGTCTGTCTGGAAGGACCCTCAAACTTTAAGGACTGCAAGACTCTGTAGCTTTTGCAGCAATAGTCTAAAATTGCTAATGCCTCCCACACATTTCGGCTCATAGGTGCTAGCATAGTTATTAATGGCTGAAATTCATTTCCAGGGCTTTATCTGAGGAGGAAGCAACCTGGGGCCCTTCCACACAGCCATATAACCCAGAATATCAAGGCAGAAAATCCCACAATATCTTCTTTGAACTGGCTTATCTGAATCCACCCTGCCATATATTCCAGTCCAAAGCAAATAATGTGACATTTTACTCAGCTGGGCGAAAGGACCCCTGGTGAATTCTCGAAGAAACTGCCTATAAGCATAGGCAGAGTGCTGTTTCTTCTGCTGACACTTGCAAGCAAGTTTTCTAAGATAAGACCTAGAAAATAGATGTTCGAGGCAGACCACATTCTGGCATTTTAAAACGACTAATTTCAGCAGAAGTTAACACCAACTGGAGAAACAGGATCTTTTGCTATGTTCTGCCTGTGTTTGGCTCTTTTCCTTTCCCCTACTGCTCTGAAAATGTTCCTTAAAGGTCCTCTCACCTTCAAAACCCAGTTTTCTTAGCATTACACAAGCTGCTTACAAGAAACTGTAGGTAATGCTATACATTCCTTGTTGTGTATAATAGCATTTGAATTGTCTTAAAGTTGAGCATTATTCAAAACCAATCCTAAAATCTAAAGCATGTATAATTGAAAAAGAATGTGATTGGTGAATGTAATATCTAGATTGTATGGCTAGGACCTGGTTTACAGATGTATATTCAAATGTAATACTATTCAAAGGGCCTTTCTTCTACCAATTATAATCTCAGTTAACAAGATTTGATTTACAAAAAGAATTCTGTTTTACAGTATGTGTAATTATATTTATTAATCTAGAACATTTATGGATTCTAATTATGTCCTGTTTCCAAAAAGATTTTCTCAAAATCATTAATACAGTACAGCAAAGAATAAACATTTGTTGTATTTTACTTTTTTAATAGAGCAGTTCCATATGAAGTTCTTTCATCCTATGCTCACATACCTTCCCCAGCTTTTAGTTTCCTACATTATTCTAAGTTGCTGTATTTCACCACTGCTTAATTTTATATTATATATCTCTTGGTGAGAAACTCAGCCTTTTAGCTCATAGGAACGACTGTGTTTTTAATCTAATGTTCATAATTTTATTGTTAATTTTGTTACTTGATTGTGCTGTATTTTGTGTTGCACATTGATAGGATTATTATGAATTGTTTATTCCATTTTATATATTTTATTGTATTGCACTTATTGTATTATTTTAGTTGTAAGCTGCCTTGAGTCCCCTGGGGAGAGAGGGCGAGATATCAATAAACTTATTATTATTATTATTATTATTATTATTATTATTATTATTATTATTGCTACTTTTGTTTCTTAGCCATGGATGTTAATGGATCTATACATATAATAAGACTTAAAGTGTGTTGTAAATGGGAACTTTAATGTTGTGAATATTTAGTAGACCACAAGATAAACATGAGTCAAAAGTTTGACGAGGCAGCCAGAAAGCCAATGTAATGCCGGGCCGCATCAAAAGGAGTAGGATGTCCTATTATTGATTAAGCAGGGCACTCCATTTCTTGTCTCAATATCCATTCATACATACAAAATGCAATTGTACTAAGTGCAAAAATGCAACTGATGACCAGAATGGCTCCTGAAATAAGCCTTTGGATTGTGTCACTTTAATTAATTGTTTTAAGATTGGTATGTTTTAATTATATGGTTTTAAAGTATATGTGTTTTATACTATGTATGTATATATGGCATCGAATTGTGCCTTGTAGTAAGCCACCCAAAGTTTCCAGTGGGGTGAGAAGAGCAGGATATAAATGCAGTAAATAATAAATATATAATAGAGCTACTATTGCCAAAACGTCACTTGTTTACCAGCTAAAACCGGATGAATCTCTCTACCAAGACACACTCCAAAAGTTATTGGCTACCATTTCCTTTAACAGGACTTGACAGGCAATGGCTAGTACTTAGTTAAATGGTTATTCTAAGGCAGTGGTTCCAAACCTTTTTTTGCCCAGGGACCACTTTGACCAGGGTCCGCTCTCCAACATTAGTACCAAAAGCGTTGCGAATCGTTTTTTGGTCAACTTTAGGTTCAGTTTTGTTATTTGGGGTACTGATTCAGAAAATTGCATTGGATACACCACATTTTGCTCTAGTTTCTGATACAGAACATATGTCATCCAGTAGTTGCCATCTGTTCGCTCACAGAAAAACATATTTAATAAATCTTGCCACTGTAAGAGGGTTTCGTGAGACCAGTGAGACGCTTTTGTAGTAGCGGTGATGCCATAGACCATATTTTAGTTCTTGTGGACCACTGGTGGTCCGTGGACCACAGGTTGGGAACCACTGTTCTAAGGGCATTGTGGCAACACAGTAGGCAGAACACAGGCAGCCGGCCACCTCCTATGCCTGGTTATTATTTGCAGCTAAAGGCATTTACACAAGATTGACCTCTTAGGTCTGGGTCAAGAAAGGATTAAACAGTCTAATACCTTTGCTCCTCTAACCTGCCAGATGAAGCATGCTCAAGGAACTGGTTAGTTAAACTCTGTATATCACATTTCGATAACGGAAACAGATTTATTAGGACCAGAGGGCACTCTTCAGACAAGATGTTTTGTCTGGAACAAGTAGCCTAATCTTTCTATTATTCCTTTTTTTAAAAAAATGAAAACGACTAAAGGGACCATCAAGTACAGGTCGAGCACACCTTACATGTAAAGGTAAAGGTCTCCTCTTGACATTAATAGGACCTCATCACACTGGAGAATGAATCCACTTTACATTCACTTGCTGGCTGTTGAAGAATTCTGGGGTTTATTGTTTAGAGAGGAGCCTTTAACAGTCTCATTAAACTACAAACCCCAGTATTCTGCAGGACGCAGGAACCAGATTTAAAGTGGATTCACGCTCTAGTTTGATGAAATAGTAAGTCTAGTTGTGTCCAGCTTTGCGGACACACCTCCATTTCTAAGCTTTCTTAGTGCTCACCTCCATTTCTAAGCTGAAGAGCCGGCGTTGTCCATAGACACCTCCAAGGTCATGTGGCTGGCATGACTGCATGGAGCGCCATTACCTTCCCACTGAAGCGGTACCTATTGATCTACTCACATTTGCATGTTTTCGAACTGCTAGGTTGGCAGAAATGATATGTAATTCCAAAATAATAATAATAATTTAAAAAGTCCACATGAATGATCAGAAACCTTTGCTTTCTTATGGTGTAATGCAGGGGTCCTCAAACTTTTTAAACAGAGGGCCAGGTCACAGTCCCTCAAACTGCTGGAGGGCCAGATTATAACTTGAAAAAACATGAATGAATTCCTATGCACACTGCACTATCTTATTTGTAGTGCAAAAACACTTAAAACAATACAATAATTAAAATGAAGAACAATTTTAAGAAATATAAACTTATTAGTTTTTCAATGGGAAGTGTGGGCCTGCTTTTGGCTGATGAGATAGGATTGTTGTTGCTGTTGTGTGCTTTCAAGTCATTTCAGAATTAGGTTGACCCTGAGCGAGGGCCGGATAAATCACCTTGGAGGGCCGTACTTGGCCCTCGGGCCTTAGTTTGAGGACCCCTGGTCTAATGGACCATGCTTTGCTTCATGCAATAAATTATTAAAATATTATTTATTTATTTTCGACATTTTTATCCCGCCCATTTCAGCCCAAAGGCGACAATTCAATGCCATATAGAAATACATTTATTTATTTATTTATTTATGACATCTATATGCCGCCCTTCTCACCCCGAAGGGGACTCAGACTCAGAGCGGCTTACAAGATATATATATATATATATATATATATATATATATATATATATACACACACACACACACATACACATACAATACATTATATTATTACCATAGCACAATATCAGTATTATATATTACTATATTGTGCTATACTATTATATTGCAATATTATTAGTAATATTACAAGTAATATAAATATATAATTATAATATCATGTTATTATTAGTATTATATATCAATAAAACAATTTAAAAACATCACAAATACATATAAAATTCATAAAAAACTATAAAACTATAAAAATCAATCGATACAATACAATACAAATATTGTGTAAATCTATATAAATAAAAATGTAATGTTCGTTTGTGGGATTAACAGAACTCAAAAACCACTGGACGAATTGACACCAAATTTGGACACAAGACACCTAACAACCCAATGTATATCCTTCACTCAAAAAAAATTGATTTTGTCATTTGAGAGTTGTAGTTGCTGGGATTTATAGTTCACCTATAATCAAAGAGCATTCAACCCCACCAACGATGGAATTGAACCAATCTTGGCACACAGAAAATAGTGGAAGGGTTTGGTGGGCAGCAGGCCTGTAGCCAGGATTTCGTTTCGGGGGGGGGGGGGGATTTTTTCAGGGGGGTTTGGGGGGGGGGGGGGGGCTGAGTCTGAGTGAAAGAGGGTCTACCCTAGCAAACCTTTTGTATCGTTACCCCAATACCCCCATGCATATGGGATATATTGAGCCTGGTGATCAGATCATGATATGAATAAACATAACAGTTTAAATAATGTACCAGTAAGGCCTTCTCGCGGACCACTCTGAGAATTTCGGGGGGGGGGGGGAAGCCACTCCAGCCCCCCCCCCCCCCCGGCTACATGCCTGGTGGGCAGTGTCCTTTGGTTTTGGAGTTGTAGTTCACCTACATCCAGAGATCACTGTGGACTCAAACAATGATGGATCTGGACCAAACTTGGCATGGATACTCAATATGCCCAAATGTGAACACTGGTGGAGTTTGGGGGAAATAGAATCTTGACATTTGGGAGTTGTAGTTGCTGGGATTTATAGTTCACCTACAATCACAGAGCATTCTGAACCCCACCAACGATAGAATTGGGCCAAACCTCCCACACAGAACCGCTATGTGGGCCACAGCAACGTGTAGAAGGGGACGGCTAGTAGGTGTGGGCCAACTTGGGCCCTGCAGGTGTTTTGGACTTCAATTTCCACCATTCCTAAGTTAGGAATGGTGGGAGTTGAAGTCGAAAACACCTGGAGGGCCCAAATTGGCCCATGCCTGGGCTACAGAGTTCAGGCCTGGACAAACTTGGGCCTTCCAGGTGTTTTGGACTCCAACTCCCACCATTTCTAACAGCCTACCGTGCTGTTAGGAATGGTGGGAGCTGGAGTCCAAAAACACCTGGAAGGCCCAAGTTTGCCCAGGCCTGCCACAGACCCTCTCCTTCTAGTATCCACTTATTTGGGGGTGGGTGGGTCGATGGGCTCCTTCTCACCCACCGTGAGCTGGTGGTCCTTGGCGTCGCCGGCCTCCTTGGTGATCATGGCAGCAGTGGCAGCAGCGGGGCAGCGGCGCCTTCCTCCTCCTCCTCCTCCTGCTGCTCTCCTCTCCGGGGCGATCCCCACCGGCCGCCCTTTCCGCCCCTTCTCCTCCTTCGGCCCCGTTGGCGCACCCTGGGGCTCCTTCCCGTCCAGGCAGAGCCCTCTCGGTGGGGGACTCAGCCTGCCATGAAGATGGGATGCTCAGCGCTCCCTCTCTCGCCCTTTCCCCGCCTCCCTTCCCGGGCTCTTCACTACTACTTCTTCTCCTCCTTCTTCTTCCCAGCCTCCGGGTGTTTCTCCTGGAGATCTTTGGCAAACTGTACACAAACAGCCCGGCAAGCGCTGGAGAGGCTGCTCCCTCCCTCCCTCCCTCCCTCGCTGGAGCGGGCTCTCTCTCGCCCCCTGCAGGCCAAAGGGCGAAGAGCAGGCCTGGGCCAACTTGGGCCCTCCGGGTGTTTTGGACTTCAACTCCCACAATTCCTAACAGCCGGTAGGCTGTTAGGAATTGTGGGGGTTGAAGTCCAAAACACCTGGAGGGCCCAAGTTGGCCCAGGCCTGCGAGGGAGAGGAAACGGGGCATGTTTACTCTCCCTAAACCAGTGGTTCCCAACATTTTTTTGGCCAGGGACCACTTTGACCAGGGACCACTCTCCAACATTAGTACCGAAAGAGTTACGAATCAGTTTTTGGTAAACTTTAGATTCGGTTTGGGTTTTTTAAAAATATATATTTTTATTGTTTTCTTCATATTTACAATAAAAAGGATAGGCACATAGGTATTAGGGTAGAAAGGGGAAAAGAAGGGATGGGGAAGGGTATTGCGAAAAGGGGAGGGAAGTATTGTGGAGTGGGAATGGTACAGTCCTTCCAGGATTACCCAGGTTGTCTCAATTAATTGTACTTTTAAGCAAGTTTGTGCTTACATAAACATATACACGTATTTGCGCATCTTTATCTATCAAATCATATACACTCGTACACAAACATATTTTTTGTCTTCGCTTATTTTTGTTACTATCTTCTTATTTATATTTCCCTTGAGTTTCAGTTACAAGTCCATAATATATATCTCTTTGTTTTCTTCTTTTACAAAGTCTAGAACTGCTTTCCAATTAGTTTTTTGAGGTTTTGCATAATTATATGAAATTCTTTGGGTCAATATGTCCATATTTATTATATCCATTATTTTTGCTATCCATTCACCCATTGTTGGGATTTCCTTTGTTTTCCATATCTTCGCTAGGGTCATCCTAGCAGCTGCTATTAAGTAAAAGAATATTTTGTCTTTATTCTTTTCTATTTTAGAGTCTAATATTCCCAATAATAGTGTTTCTGGCTTTGGATTAAATCTTATATTTGGAATCTCTTCCATTCTTTGTGTATTTGTAGCCAGTAATTTTTTACTTTTCTGCAACCCCACCACATATGGAAAAAGTTGCCTTTTTCTTTTTCACATTTCCAGCATAGGTCTGCAAGTAGCTTCTGGTGTGAGAGAATTGGCTGCCTGCAAGGACATTGCCCAGGGGATGCCCGGATGATTTAATGTTTTTACCATCTTTGTGGGAGGCTATGTCCCTGCAAGAGGAGCTAGAGCTGATAGAGGGAACTCATCCGCACTGTCCCCAGATTCGAACTTGCAACCTGTCAGTCTTCAGTCCTGCTGGCACAGGGCTTTAACCCACTGCGCCACTGGGGGCTCCTTTCGGTTTGGGGTGCCGATTCAGAAAATTGTATTGGAAGGATAAACTGTGGGATTATACACAGACGGCTAAGATTTCTAGCCATTTGAAACATGAAAATCATGAAATATTTGAAAGAAGCTGGAAGCTGGCTTTAGCATACTTGACGGGAGAGCTAAAGAAATAAAAACAAGAGGAATTTATTGAATTAGAAGTATAGAGCAGTAGTTCTCAACTTGTGGATCCCCAGATGGTTTGGCCTACAACTCCCAGAAATCTCAGGCAGTTTACCAGCTGATAGGTTTTCTGGGAGTTGAAGGACAAAACATCTGGGGACCCACAGGTTGAGAACCACTGGTATAGAGGGTTAAACATCTTGTTTACCTTGTTTACATCTATACCAGGGAAGCCAAGGTGGTGGGTACCCCTGGGGGTGGGTTGAGGGGTAACTGTAATGTGTGTGGCGGGTTGTCTACATATGTGTATGTGTTTGTGTAAGTGTATATTTCTGCAATATATATGGTTGGTGTATTATCTTTTTGAAAATTTTAAAAAAAATTAAAAAAAGTTTCAATTAAAAAAAGAAAAAGAAAATTGTATTGGATAGACCACATCAGTTCTAGTTTCTGATACAGAACATATGCCATCAGGGGCAGTTCAACCCATTACACAAAGTAAGCATTTGCAGTATAGTTGATTTTGCCCAGGAGCGCTCTTGAGGCGCTCTTGGGGGAATATAGACCTTGACATATGTGAGTTGTAGTTACTGGGATGTATAGTTCACTTACAATCAAAGAGCATTCTGAACTCCACCAATGATGGAATTGAACCAAATATGACACACAGAACTCCCATGACGAACAGAAAATATTTTCTGTTCATCGTGGGAGTTCTGTGTCAAAGTGTGGGAGGAATTGGAAGGAATCAGGCGAACAGCTGAAAAGCACATATTAAAAAGGTGCACTTAAAACCCGATTCTGCCTGTATATTCCTGCAGTTATGCAAAACACATGCTTTCCTTCCCTCCCCCCTGTGTAGACTGCTCCAGTGCATATGCGCTTTTTAAAAGCCCAAAACAACTGATCAGCTCATCCCGCTGTCTAATGGACACACAGGTAGCTCAAGGGAAGCACAAGTGGAAAGCAATTAGAACTCTCTGAAACTTCTTATTTTATACTTTATAATCTCAAACAGAGCTTGGATTAAGAATTGGGGGAAGAGAGCGATCCGATTAAAGTTTTTTTAAAACTCACTCCATTATGTACTGGACCTCATACGCATACATACCAATCTGCTTGTGTTTATATTAAGATATTCACATGTGCACATATACTGTCTAGCACACATCAGAGGATATTTTAAAAAAAAACTTCCAGCACATGTCCCCCATTTGAGCCCTCTCTTGTTCCCCTACATAGGAAGGCTGTGAGGACGCAAGGGAGCATTTCCTAGGATTGACCGGTCCCTGAATTTTTTTGTCTTCGAATTAAAATGCAGATTTTGGTGCTGTCTTGAAGCGCCCTCAGAGAGCAACACGAATCCATAGATCATTATTTTGAATACCAGTGCCCCAGTTGATTGACAAAAAAATAAATCACATTTTGATAGCATCTGTCAATGTTTGTTGTGTTCATCAGTTCTAAATCTTCATCACACCTCTACAAAGTTATACAACAAATTGAGCACAGGCCTTTAGTAGATTTACTGATTTACTCTGCTTGGGAAATCATGATTGTCATGCATGGGCCCTCCTCTATCCCACAACATATTTCAAAAATGTAATGGGAAGCTCTCTAGAGTGTTGGCTGAGGAGTGTAAGTGCTTTCAAATTGCCTGTTGACCTATGGCAACCCCGGGTTTCATAGGGTTTTCCATGGTGCCAGTCATACCCTCTGGAGGTCTTTGAGGGCATGGCTGGCCTGTTTAGGAGTACCGTACATTGTTTCCTGGATGTTCCCGGAATGATTTTGAGGAATGTATACGGTCCATCAGCTGCATTCTGCACACCTGTCCTAAAAGAACATCTTTCCTGTGGCCGTTTCTCTCCCTTGAATCTCTCTCTGAGAGTCACTTTCTTCTGGGAAATTGTAAATTGTTTAGGGGATGTATGCAAAACGGCATATGAAGCTGGAGTGACGGCCCCTCCTAGTTTTGCTGTAATAGCATATTATCATTTCTAGCTGTGTCTGCACATCATTGGAGCAGCTGACTGATCATGACTGAGCTCTGCTTGGCTTCAATTCAGTTCATCTTGACATCCATGAATACTTCAGCAATGACAAGGAGCTGCTGGGTGAAATGTATGCAAATGACCAATTTGATGCATTATCAATTGAGATACAACAGGAAGTTAGGTCCTCTTCAGAGAAATCTTTGCAGCTGTTGCACTACTTACCTTGGTCATTTTGTCCCTTGTCAGCCACTGCTCTATTATGCATAGCATGGCATTTCTGGAAGCTAACATTTGTTGCCCATTCAATGCAGCTATTGCATATTTTGCCCTATTCAAATAGAGTGCAGTTATCTATTACTCCATATCTGTTTAGAAAACAACAGATCTCTTTCTAGTTAAAATTGGCTTTGTATCCTGGTAAGGTGGAAAGCAGGGCTCCTTAATTCTGACCTGGCATCAGGAGCAGAGCAGGGCACCTGACTGGGCAGAGCTGGCTTCTCCACTCCTTTTTAGAGTCTCCTGCTGGCAAACCTTAGGCAACAAGGCAATTCTGCCAGCGGATTTCTGTCATCATCAGACAGAAGAGGGTTCTGCCCATGCTCCATCCTAACTTGTTACAGGGACATGCCTTTATCATTTCTTTAATAATTCAATGTGAATATGTCATGCTCTGCCTGGAGTTGCTATTCTCCTGTTTTTCACATGGTGTCTGCTAGATTCTAAGAATGCATCTGCACTGTGGAATTAATTCATTTTGACAGCACCTTAACTGCCAGGGCTCAATGCTATGGAATCATAGGAGTTCTAGGTTTAAAAGGCTGCTAGCCTTTACTGCCAAAGAGTCCTGGTGCCTCACCAAAGTACAATGCCCAGGAAGCCATGGCATTGAGACATGGCAGTTAAAGTGGTGCTAAACTGCATTAATTCTAGTGTAGATACACCCCAAGTCACCATGCAGGGGCTATGTTGTTTCTAAATCACTGTACAGCACTAAAATGGGCCAGATCCTGTCTGATCTGGGAAGCTAAGCAAGGTCAGCCTTGTTAGCACTTGAAAGAGTGACTTTCAAAGAATGACAAAATGTGAAGATTTTATTTCAAAGGAAGTGAGATCCCATATCACACCGATTCTGCAACAACTGCATTGGCTACCAATAGAACATCGGATCTCTTACAAGATACTGATCCTGACATTTAGAGCTCAAAATGGCCAAGGACCTTTACATCTTAGGGACCGCCTCATTCCTTTTCTCCATAGTGGTCACCTCGATCCACCTAGGAAAATCTCCTATACATACCGGGTCCTAGGGAGGTACAACTGGAAACTACAAGGCGTAGAGCTTTTTCGACCTATGCTCCAATTCTGTGGAACTCATTGCCTCCATACATTAGAGCAATGTCGGAGTTGCGACCTTTTGTAAAGGAACTCAAGACTTGGCTGTTTGGTTGTGCATTTAAGTAATCAGATCAAATTGCCAAATAGTCACTGTTGAATGTTTTTATGTTGAATGTTTTTATATTGTGTAAATGCTATTTTAGATTGTATTTCGCTTGGAGCACCTTGGTGGAGAGTGACTAATTAAGAAATAAAGTGAAGTGAAAGGAAGTGTTCCTTGTCTAAGAAAACCCTATGAAATTCTTGGGGTCTCCATACATTGACAGGTGACCAGAAAGAACATGCAGACCGCTATCTAAAATTATTAGGTGCTTTGTAAGTCAGGTTTCTCAGGAGAGTCCTCACATAATAAGCAGATACTGTGAAAAATAGAGAGTTCAATGGCATTCTAATTCCATAAAAACGAGGCATCCAGATTATACTGATGTCAGTGAGTGCATGCAGCGTTCACATCTGGTATAATAAAATAGTGCAGGGAGATATAAGAAAATTCAGTTTGAGATTGAGTAGCAGGAAAATTTCAGTCTATGTTGAATATCTCCCAGCCTTGAAAATAGAATGCATACAACCTATTTTACCATAGACGGGACTAATATTTAAATAAATAAATAGATAATGTTGAGGAAACATTTTTCATGACCTGCAAGACGATCACCCCATTAATAATTTAACCAGCACCGACTGGCAGTGCTGTCAGTCTGCAATAATAAGCACTGACTATTGACGTAACTGAAAATGGGCATTTATTTCTGGTTGGATAGTTGCTGGTGCCGGCTGATTCTGAATGCATTCCTGTTTGTGTCCTTTGTTACTGAAGCCTCTAGGAAGGGATTGGGGGTGATTCCTGTCACCTGGAAACCCTCAAAGAAAAATTTTATTCAGCTAATATTACAGACCACAGCAAAATAGTTGATTGCATTTTATTTAAGCAAAAGGCAAATTGCACACTATTTATTATATTGCAGATTATAGATAAATTTTGTCGCTTAAAAAGAAACTAATACATCTGTGAGTGAGCCCAATTAAATGTGACAATAGACATACAAGAAAAAAAGTCTTTAAAAATGACACTTTTATTTTGAGGGGGAGAGAAGTGATATGGGAGATGAGACGAATGCAGTAAATGGTGAAGAACCGTCTTGCCTTCTCCCTGCTCTTTCACAGAAAAGATGGGTAAAGAACCAATAACTAAATCCTAGAAAGGGAATATGTGATATTTGGAAAAATAATCATCACCGAAGCTCCTGGTGGAGCAACAGGTTAAACTGTTGCGCTGCTGAACTTGCTGACTGAAAGGTCGGCAGTTCAAATCCATGGAGCGGGGTGAGCTCCCACTGTTAGCGCCAGTGGATCACTAGGTATCGCTCCGGCGGGAAGATAACGGCACTCCATGCAATCATGCTGACCACATGACCTGGGAGGCATTTACGGACAATGTCGGCTCTTTGGCTTAGAAATGGAGATGAACGCCACCCCCCAGAGTTGGACACAGCTAGACTTAATGTGAATGGAAACCTTTACCTTTACTTTAGGTAACGGTAAAGGTAGTCCCCTGACATTAAGTCCAGTCATGTCTGACTCTGGGGTGTGGTGCTCATCTCCATTTCTAAGCCGAAGAGCCAGCATTGTCCGTAGATACCTCCAAGGTCATGTGGCCGGCATGACTGCATGGAGCGCCGTTACCTTCCCGCCGGAGCGGTACCTATTGATCTACTCACATTTGCATGTTTTCGAACTGCTAGGTTGGCAGAAGCTAGGGCTGACAGCGGAAGCTCACGCTGCTCCCCGGAATCGAACCTGCAACCTTTCGATCAACAAGCTCAGCAGCTCAGTGCTTTAACCTACTGCGCCACCGGGGGCTCCCCTTTACTTTACTCTGTTGCAAGTATGGTTCTTTGAAGAGGCAAGGATATTAATGAGGTAGAGTACTGCTACTCTTTTCTGATTTTCATAAATTTTCCTCTAACTATAGAAGTACCAAGTTATCTAACACATGACCTCGGAGGCCTCTACGGACACCGCCTGCTCTTCAGCTTAGAAATGGAGATGAGCACCACCCCTCTCAGTCTGACAAGACTAAACTTAACGTCAAGGGGAAACCTTCAACTTTACCTTTAATCATTTTCTGGGAAGCATATTCACCCTCTAGAGATCCAAGGATTCAGGTACCATCTACATTGACAATTTAATGCAGTTTCAAGCTAGCTTTAAACTGTGGTGGCCAGACAACAAACTTCCATAAAAGCATGCAAAAGAAAGCCTTTAATGTGTACCAGTGCTCTGTGATTTGTGAAATCATTAGCTAAACTCAAACTGGTTCTATGATTTCCTTTGTAATCATCTGCACAGTAAAATCAGGGGTTCTGTATCTGACGCCTGAAACATCTAACCAACTCAATTTTTAGAAGCATGTTTTAAGGAGATACTGCTGCTACACACCTTCAAATAGTGTCTGACTTATGACAAACATATGAGTTTTTGTCAAGATCTGTTCAGCATTTGTCATGTGGTTGCGACTACCTTTCTCTAAGGCAGAGAGAGTGTTTCCCCAAGAGCATTCAATGGGTTTCCATGGCTAAACAGGGATTTGAAAACTGGTGTCCTGAAATCCTACTCTTAACACTTAAATCACAACTCCAGGCTGGTTTTGTTGAGTATGTAGGACATATTTGTGACTTCTTTCTTCAGCAAAGTCCTGAATAGGCAGCAATATGAGAGGCAAGGTGTTTTTGAACGGGCTTAGCACAATTGACAACATATAGCTCAATCTGTGCTTATATTTTTGGCTCTTGATCCAGGTAGTTTTCTCCAACTTCCAAGATCTTCTGCAATACCTTTTAGACCATAACTCATATCATACACAATCAGAAGAACCATTAGATAAACTATATCCATTAATGTCAAGGTACTATATGGCAGCTGTCATTCTCCAATCATGGTACATTGTTGATTCATTCATATCCAAATGCAATCAACAAATATATGCTTTTTCTTTTGCAATAAGAACTGCCCATGAAAGAAATTTATTTCTATCATTCTTTATTCATGGATTTCATCCTGCATGTCATATTTAATAGTGTTGTATGCTGAAATTCCTCTGGTGGTTCCCTGTCAAGTGTCATAATCCAAACCAACGATCACAGGTAATCTCATATTATTTTTATCCCTCTGACATTGAGGATTTTTGTGAGTTCCCATGGCAAAGACACTCAGATGCTCAGTTGGACACTGGTTCTGATTAAAATGGAGCAGACAATAAAGGCCTAAATGCTCTTGCATTTATTAATATCGTCTCTTGTGTAAAAAAAAAAAATAGGGAACAACATACAAAAGGAAAGTAAATTCTATACACCAACTCCAGGAATCATTCCTCCTCCTCTTCTTCCTCTTTCTTCTCCTCCTCTTCATCCTCCTCCTCCTCCTCCTGCAGTAAAAGCAGAATTCTTAATTTTTTTCAGGTTCTCCCTCGCAAGAAAGCTCTTCCCAAACCAGTCCCTGCAATAAATCTCACATTCTGGATAAAATTGAAAATTGACAGACATATACACATAGTCTTTAGGGACAAATATCTAAAGATGCAGCTGATAAAATATTTTGTGTTTCCTAATAGATAATAAATACTGGATAATAAATAGGAGAAAGGAAGGGGGAATGGAATATGGCAGCACCATTAAAGCTAGCTGGTTTTCATTTTAGCACGAGATGTCCTGAATATGAACCCACTTCTTCAAAGGCAGTACTAAGTGATATTAAAGCTCCCTAAAGTATATTTATATATATATTTATAAATGTCACACAACTGTATAAATTTGTTTTAAATTGGAGGCTAAATATCTTAAATATCTCAGTGCCATCATAGATAGAACACTAACATATAGGAAATGCTGCATGAACACCAAGCACAAAGTAGCTACATGCAATAACATCCGGTGGAAACTTACTGGCAGCACATGGGGTGCAGACCCAAAATTAATAGGAACATCAGCCCTGGCCTTGACTTACTCAACAGCCGAGAATGCCTGCCCTGTTTGGCACAAGTCTGCCCATGCAAATCAGGTGAACACAGCATTGAATGAAGCATGCAGAATAATCACAGGATGTCTTAAACTCTACAAGCTAGCTGGCATTGCCCCCTCCCCCCACCGTTGTGAGATGGGAAGTTGCTGCTAACTTTGAGAGAAATAAGGTTGAATACTGTGAAAACCATCCACTGCATGGCTATTAGTCTCCTCCCGGTAGACTCAAATCAAGGAAAAGCTTCATGAGAACCACCACTCCTCTTAATGTTCCTCCAGCTGTTGCAAGAGTATCCCATTGGACAGCTAAACCAGGAAATCCCAACTGGACCCCCCTGCCCCCATGAGGCTTTTCCTCCAGGGGCAAACCAAGAATGGGCAACTTGGAAGTCCGTGAAAAGACTCAGAAGTGGAGTGAGCAGATCAAAAGACAACCTGGCAAAATGGCACTACCTAAAAGAATCCGACACCTTGTGTGACTATGGAGCAGAACAAACAACTCCGCATCTGTATGCTTGTCCACTATGCACTGCCTCATGTACAAAGGAAGAATTGTTTTGGTCAAAAGATATTTAGCCACTGTGCTCCTTCTATTTTTATCAGTTTTATACTAATTTGTGAAATGCTTTTGATACAAAATAAATAAATAAATCCTGATTCAAGCCTAAAGATCTGTTTCTTCCATCCTGTGTCTGAACAAGATAAAGGATGGAGTGATTGTAGAGTGTGGGACACAAATATAATCAGCAGTTGTGGAAGTGCAGCCCAGCCAAAGAAGGGAAAGGGAGCCTCCCCTTGTTGGCCCAGCTCTTGTCTTGTTTCTGCCACCTCTAAGCAATTGCTGATGCAGCCCTTTGTCAGGAACTAAGGTGGGTGTGTAAACTGAGTTTTGTCATTCCTGTGTAGGCAATCCACACACACACACCTTATCCCTTAAATCTGCATTCTGTTCCAGATTAAATGGTTGTGAGGAAGTATCTTAAGTCTCCTCTGTGCACTCACACACTCTGACCGGTTACACCTCGCTAAAGGAATTGATTGTGAGATGGCCACATATTTGTCCTTTCAATTTACTTGGTAAACACATCCTAAAATGGATATGGCATTTTTCTTAGAACCATTACAGCTATTTTATGGAAATTACTGATACTCCTTGTTTGGCCAGTTTAGTGGGAAAAGTGCCCATTGGATTATCTTCTAAAATAGGAGCCTGCCATTGGTCCATCTTGAATATCAAGGAGGTCATAAAATAAAATTCCCATTCTATAAATGAAAGAGTATGTGGGTAAGTGAAAGGAATACTGGCCTTTGGAAGGAATAGTTCTTCCTCAACATCTTCACCTTCTTGGTCCTGGAAAATAAAGGGCATTACAATACATGGGTTACATGAAAAACTTCTTGGAACATTCATAACCATGGAATTCTGGGAGCTGCAGTCCAAAAAGGTAACTTTCCCCACTTCTGTTCATAATATACAAATATTGATCTTTTAAGCCCTAAACAATCTGGAAATTGAAGAACCTTCACTTCTATTAGAGCTGAGCAACCTGTAATCCTCCAAAGGTTGTTGGATTGCAGCTTCCATAACCACGCGCCACAGATTATGCTGTTTATGGCTGATGGCATCTATAGTCTGATGAAAATCTCAAATCTACTTTAGATTTCAGAAAACTTAGGAAAATGTGTTTATTGTTCTTTCATTGGTTTCATTGTGCTTTAATTGTCTTGTTTTTGTTATGGCATGAAAGTCATAGGTGTGGAAGGGAGAGGATTTCACGTAGGGCAAGGTAGAAAAGATTAAAAAATAAACTAACCAAATCAATCAACAAAATTGCTGTCCTTGGTTTGACTTCTATTCTGTCTTTGGTTGTGCGTTAGCTGTTTTTCTAGCTTTGGTGTCTTCTGAACATTTAAATATTGCTGCACATAGTGTGTTTACATTTTGGTGGTAATATTAACATTTAGGTTATTGTTTCATAGTTTTACAGATGTGCGTACGCCTCTTTTGATGGCACCCCGAACAAAAGGTTAAGTGTTTATGTTTTTTTTTATGTCATGAGTGACTTGAGAAACTGCAAGTCGCTTCTGGTGTGAGAGAATTGGCCGTCTGCAAGGATGTTGCCCAGGTAACACCTGGATATTTTGATGTTTTACCATCCTTGTGGGAGGCTTCTCTCAAGCCCCCACATGGGGAACCGGAGCTGATAGAGGGAGCTCATCTGTGCTTTCCCTGGATTCGAACCTCTGACCTGTCGGTCTTCAGTCATGCCGGAACAAGGGTTTAACCCATTGTGTCACTGGGGGCTCCACCATTCATGTGGGAAGGATAGAAGTAGCCAAGAAACATAAGAATTAGTTCAAGGTGGGTTTTTGTGTGTGTGTCAGGAGTGACTTGAGAAACTGCAAATTGCTTCTGATGAGAGAATTGGCCATCTGCAATGACATTGGCCAGGGGACACCTGGATGTTTGATGTTTTACCATCCTTGTGGGAAGCTTCTCTCATATCCCTGTATGGGGAGCTGGAGCTGACAGAGGGAGCCCATCCGTGCTCTTCCCGGGATTCAAACTGCAGACCTGGTGGTCCGCAGTCCATTGCGCCACAGGGGGTTCCAATGTTTATAATTAATGAATTTACTGGTCAACACACATTTTGGTGCCTCAAATATTAGCCCTTTTTCTGGGTATATTTGGCCTGCTGATTCTAAAAAAAGGCACCAATTTTCTCCTATCAGCTCTAGTTTTTGACACACAGAACATATGCCATATACCACCCTTCATATACTTGTCCACAGAAAACCATGATAATCATATCTAAGAAATTAAAGCCGATGTAGTCTATCCAATGCAATTTTCTGAATCAATACCCCAAATAACCCCAGGAATAGGTCTAAAAATCAAGACACTAAGAAAAAAAATTCCTCTTGGGCTGTGAATTATCAATCTACAATTTAACCCACCAAATGGATGCTTGGGAACTGACACTGTGATTTCGAATCCCAAGCATAGTTAAGTTGCTTCTTTGATATGAAAGACTTATTATGTGTAGAAAAACTCTGCCCTGCCACTAGAGCTGACCTTGCATCCATTCCCTGCAGATTTAGGAGCTATGCTACTCAAAGCAGTGGTCTGCGGACCACTACTGGTCTGTAAGCCATTTCCCACATCAAGTTTCCAGGTTTAAAAATTCAATCACAGTGAACAGAGGCTGGATGGCCATCTGTCAGGGGTGATTTGAATGCAATATTCCTACTTCTTGGCAGGGGGTTGGACTGGATGGCCCATGAGGTCTCTTCCAACTCTTTGATTCTATGATTCTATGAATGGACATAACTATGGTGCCCTTTTCTGCCTCCTTCATACCTTGATGGGATTAATACACTTATTTAAACAACACCTGGCATACATTTTAAGACCCCTCCCCAGCCACCCTTGTTCTGTGGCTGTGCTAAATATCATTGTGCCCTTCAACTAAAAGAGAATGTCTAGGGCTCTCTTCTCCATTGCCCCCAGACTCTCTCTCTTCTCAATGTTACCTGGCCTGTAAAAGTCTTCAACTTGGCCCGTGCTCGCTCCCTGCGCTTCAGCTCTCCTTCAATTATGTCAAAGAACTCCTTCTGTATGCGTTCGAGGGTCTCCGTGGGTTTCTCATCCATCACCTCTTCTTTGGTGTCTTCTTCCTTTCCTTCAGCCTTTGTCTTTTCCTTTAGACGCATTTCACGGTGCCGCGCCTCCAGAATCTTCTCCCGCTTAGTCTCTCGCTCAAACATCTGGGAAGGGTTACAGTTTGAAAGGGGGTAACTGAATTGCTTCCAGACCATGTATTCCCTTCTCTCCAAGAGAATCCACACATTTTTGTTGGGCCTTGTACATTCCTCCACAATTTCAGACCCCCTAGCAATCACTGTTTCGGCGTAGCTAATCAAGTTAAAAGGAAAATGGGAAGAGAAGAAGTTGGCACTTTCCAGTCCGGGGTTCTAAATGGTGGGAACACTGAGGAAGAGCTGTATTTTATCTTCCTTTATGCTCATTATATAGATAAAGATTGATATGAAAAGATGGGATAGATGTAGCTCGCATGGGGAGGGGTTGCATGTCAACAGGACACCTTCACCCTCTTCATCCACTTTGAAGTGGATTGTAGTCCCTTTGTGAATGAGGCCTCAATCCAACCAAACCAAAAGAGCTGTAAGGAATAAAAAATAATTCCATAAATCTTTGGTATTTCTAAAAAAACAAATGGAATGCAAATTGGATAAATAAAATTGTGTGGAACTTCCCCTTCACTCCAAAGAGGAGGTTGAAAAAAAGCAGAAAGCTCTCCCACGTGTTCATGAAAGAGTAAGAAATGAGCAAAAAGCTGTGCTGCAACTGAAGCGAGGTATGGATGTCTGGAAAAGAATAAGGCTAGAGAAGCTGAGCTCACCACACACCCACACCCACCCCACTAACCCCCCCCCCTTTTACTCTTGAAGGGAGCTATGCCCACCTTGGTTCACAATTTGCCTCCCACAGGAACGAAGTACTTACTGCGGAGGCCAAGTTCTTCTCATTCCGTTGCAAAGTGCAGAGGCCAGAGGAGAATTCCAGTAGTGTCACAGTGCCCAGCTTGGAGCCACAGCCAATGAAACGTCCATTATCCTGTAAGCGTAGGCTGAAGAGAGGGTCATCACAGACCTGTTGGGAAAAGACCCAGTTCAGGAGACAAAGCTCTTTGTTTTTATGTTTGTGTGCATATCATGAGAGCTTTGGGTTGTTGTTTCTTTTCTTCTTTTTTTTTTTTAAAGAAAACACCAGGATTTCAGAACTTTTTCAAGGTTTGGGGGACACATCAATTCCAGCCTTCCATTAAATTGATTGAAAGCAAATAGATGTTATTTATAATTTTATTCTGTTACAGGGAATGGCCTGCTGGAACATGTTGCTTAAATGAAGATGAAGACCCACTATATGCCAAAAAGTTCCCGGGCAAAATATAAAGTGTTTGTTTTGACCTTTTAAAGCCCTACATGATTTGGGTCCAGGTTACCTACAGGATTGCCTTCTCCTACACAATCAGCCCTTTAGAACAGTTAGGCCTCCTGGCAGATGTTTACTCCAGCCTGCCGGAGACCTGACTGGTAACTATCACCCAGATGACATTTTAATCAGCCACCACATAACTGTGGAATGACTTGCCAGAAAAGCTCCGACAGTTAAACACAATTGAAGACCCACCTCAATGGCCTACTCAGTCAATTTTCAATCATGAGTTTTGATTTAATGTGTCGTCGAAGGCTTTCATAGCCGGAATCACTGGGTTGCTGTGAGTTTTCCAGGTTGTATGGCCATGTTCCAGAAGCAGTCTCTCTTAAATCTCCTATATAGGCTTAAATATTAACACCCTAGAAGTACAAGATCCTCTTTGATCTTGGAAGCCCAGTGGGGTCAGCATTGATTAATATCAGATGGGAGAGCACCAATGGAAACCAGATGCTCTTGGCTTTATTTCAGAGGATGGAATTGGCCAAACCATTTCAGAGTATTTCTTGCCTAAGAAAACCCTATGAAATCCACGGAGTTGCCCTAATTTAACATTTGCACACATACACACTACTTTAGAAATTTTCAAACACATTTAACTACAACAAAATAAGGCTATGTGTCATGTTCAAACATGGCCATACACTCGTAAGTTTTCCCTGGAAGTGACAAACAGAAGGCAACACATCTTTGAGACCTACAAGCTATTCAATATAGCTTTCCTCCACTGGATTTCCTTCAGAGATAATATATAGCAAATTGCCTTCCCAATCAACACAGACACTTACTGTACTGGTTGGAATATTAGGAGTTGTAGTCAGACCCATCTGTAGGCTATGTGGTTAAGGAAATCCAATTTAGTGATTAAGAACTTCTGAAAAGTAACCCAACCAGTGATTTCTAGGGCCCTTCCACACAGCGCTATATCCCAGAATATGAAGGCAGAAAATCCCACATTATCTGTGTGTGGACTCAGATAACCCAGTTCAAAGCAGATATTGTGGGATTTTCTGCCTTCATATTCTGGGATATAGCGCTGTGTGGAAGGGCCCTTAATGTGCAAATACTAGCAACAACAAAATCTCAACAATCAAGAGAGCAGAACTCTCAGAAGAAAAAGACTAGAACCTATAAATCTAATGCTAGTGGTTGTGTGTGTGTGTTTCTTCCCTTGCAGTAACCTTCAAGTTGAGCGTGGGGTCATTCTGTTTGAACAGGAAGTCCCAGACATCAAGAGTCCCATCCATTTTGGTGGTGAAGAAGACAGCTGGCCGAGTGGTGCTCCAGCATCCATCTGTGATGTAAGCCATATGATATCTGCAGAAAAATACAACAATTGGTAATTTTATTTTTTGTTACAGATGTGGATTTGTGAAGGCTTTGCTCAAAAATGGTATAGATTTCATATACATAAATATTTCATTACATAGACACATTGGAGTTGTTTCCCTCCTTCAAAGCATTCCTACTTAAGTGCGTGCTCACTATAACAAAAGAGTAAGATGAACCTATCGATTTGCTATCTTTTGTAATGCCCACCTACTTATTGTACTCTTATTATGAACAGGAAAATAGGTTGAGAACAGCAAGGCTGGGAAGGGAAACACCACCAGCTTTCCTCTACTCCAGACTCATTTTTCTCTTGATTCATGCTACCTTGCATGTTACATACAGGAAATCAGGCCTCATTCAATGGGTTAGCACTGTTGTGATGTGCTCGTTGCTTGGTTAGAAAACATCTAATCTGTTTGAAGCAGATAACAGATGTATCATACATGCCTACATATAAGTTCAGAACAAATTTGGGGGCCAAAATTATGAATTTTGATGTGATATAGCAAGGATTTAAAATCAATAAGGGGATGGTTCCTTTTTCTTATAAGAGTTACACTGGTCTGTGGATAAGTCAATTCAGGATTTGGGGGTTCATTTTTGACTAAACTTTCTAGACTTATGCATGAGTATATACAGTAAACAAAAATGGAAATTAAATGAGGAAAGGATGAGGAATTATTAGATTCACAACTGATGTGCTTTATGAAGTGATAGGATGAAAAAGAAGCCATTAGTCAACCTGTCAGCTAGGACTGACTCTAGTGACATTGAAGCATCTACACTACAGAGGAATTTGCTATCATCATCATCAGTAGCACATATATGTTATTAAAATCGTCAACATCGTGATGAAAGATTAAAAGAATGTGTTACCTACTTAGTCCACATGATTGAGGATTCTCTGCTCTCTTCTGACCAGATGCGTGCAGTCCAGTCCCCTACTGTCAAAAAATTCTTGGGGTAGAAAGGATTCCTAGAAAGGGAATAGATGGGTCCATGGTGCCCACTGAATGTGCAGACAATTTTTTCAGCAGGTGTCTTGGCTTTACGGTTGCAAGAAATCACCATGCCTTGCTCTGTTCCCACCATGAACTTGGTTGGCTGTGGAAAACCAACAGAATGCTACTGTTACTTAAGTATGCTATGGCATCTCCTCACAGGTCAAAAAACATGAACGGATATTGTCCATAAGAAGGTATCAATGGGTGGTGAGGATAGACACATCATATTAGGACTAAGTCCAGGTCTAAAGCTTGGTCAGAAGAGGGGAAAAAAGATCTTTGACCCTATAGAAGCAGCAATATCTGCACAAATAGCTGGACCAAGTAGCTATTTCTGAGATAAGACAACCTTAAAAGATCCTTGTATTAATAATCAACAATGCAAATCTGAGGCTGCTTGGAGATGGAGGAATGTCTGTTGAATTGTTAACAATCTGTCCCTAAAAATAAAGTGGGCCCCATGGAATTCATTAGGTGGATCCCCTGTAATCCATGGATGCCAAAATCTTATTATATACACTGACATACTAAAATGGTGTCCCTTATATAAAATGGCAAAATCAAACTTTGCTTTTTAAAGGATGTGTGGTTTTGTGGGGAAGGTATTGTCCAGCCATGGATGGTTGAACGTGTGGATACAGAATCCTTGGACACAAAGGGCTGACTATACATAGCATTTGAAATCTGAAAGAATGGATCTGTCTCAAGCCATGCTGGAAAATAGCAATTTCTATTACCATTAAAATCTTGAGCCAACAGTGGACCGTTCATTTTCCCTTAGTCCATCTTGAAAGGCCATTGAGCTCCAGCCAGCCTCAAGAAATTTTTGGTAGTTCCTGACCTAATATCCCACTCTTCCCCTTTATTGTCTTTATTTATCTAGTCAATTTCTCCTTGAACTGGGTTTAGAGATGGACAATCATCATGGCATGAAGCAGCAAAGTATTGCCAAATTTTGAAGTGACCCTGGATATTGATCTTAATGTGGATCTACATCTTAACTTTAGACCAAGAGTGGGGTTCTTTAGGCTTCCAAATATTTTGGACTACAGTCCATCCAGTTATGTACTATTAGTCATAGCAGGCTGATGGGAGTTGGAAGCCAAACCATCTTAAAGACTAAAGTTTCTTCATCCCTGTTTTAGAACTTGATTACGAGACGAACAGCACAAAAAGATGATCCCAAGCTTCTCTGCTCCACTCCCAGCATAGAGAGAAGTGGCAGCGTTGGTGGTCGGAAAAAAACATAATTTTTACAGTGAAGAAAAGAATCATAATCTTCAGACTCTGTGAACTCATTTTCTTTTCAAAACTTTCAAGTTAGGTTTATATGATGGGCAACAGCATGTGCGTGTGTGCATATGTGATGTACTTATCAATTTAGCCTCCCTGCTGGCTCTCAAAAAACCTGCAACCTCTGTGATTAGGGGCTTGCTTGGCCATGTAACAGAGAGATAAAGATGCTTATCAAGATACAATCCCTCCTGGCTGGAGAGATTAAGCCCCTAACAAGCTGCAAGTAATTTCTGGCAACCAAGTCAAGGTAGCAACCGTTTTAGAAGATTTAACATTGTGTTTGAAAATATATTATCTCTAATATGGAGAGTAGCAGTACTTTATTACTTAAAGTTGCATGGTTTTCCCATTGGGGCTCTAATTTATAGAGCATGCGTGCCGGTTATTAAGCACTGAGAAAGAGAAGTTCTTAGTTAAGAAATCTTGGAAGTAATGCAATATCTAGATCGAAAGGCAGTTTAGCCATGATATTGTTCCAATAAAACAATGAGAAGAGAAATAGGGCCTAGCTGTAGCACTTGCAGTAGTGATAGTGTAATAACGTGACAATGGGATCCTCAGGCTTCATAATAAGATTATTACATACATGTGTGTTTAAAGGAAAAATCTATTTCAAGGTAAGAGAAATAACACCTGAAATCATCTTTGTGCATCAACTAAGTAAGGAGATTAATTTTCTGCCAAACTTAGGGATGCTCATATGAATTTGAATGACTTTGGTCTGCACTCAGCAAATGATAAGGTACTTCACTGATCTATTTCACAGTAGTTTATAATATTTGTTCCTATAGCAAGTATATGGACTCCCCATGTTTTGTAAACACAGTCCTTCATTTTGAAAGAGGAAGGCAATTACCTACTAGTGTGAATAATTCAGTGTGGCAAGAACCTTCAACAATTGTGATCTCCTCCTATACACACTGGAGGCTAAAGTCTAAGGCAATACAAGTCAAGCACGTTGTCCACGGACAGGTGCAAGTCCACAACCTATTAGCTTCCAGACTGCAGTGAATTACCAGGAAAGAAAGGAACAGTTACAGCCAATGGACACAAATATGGTGGCATTCTCTGGCACAATGGCAAAAAAAAAAAAACCCAAAAAACTGTTGGACTTTCACATTGTGACTGAAAGAGGAAGATAAAATGGAATAAACATGTCTGTCAAGGTGGTTGGTCGAAATTGGTCGGAAGATACATTAAGGAACATTGGTCTAAAAGATCTAGCACAGTCTCAATACTCAGAAGTAATATTCCAACATGTGTGTTGAGATATTCATGCTAGAAAGAGACTAAAAATGCTACTATTCTTCATTTTACTTAGCAATCTTGCTGCTTTGATATTCCTTAAAATCCAGTTTGTTCCTCTATGTTGCTCTTAATTACTCATCAGATTTCAAATATCAGTATAGTATTTTATATTGTATGTTGTGAAACTTTTGTACGTTCTGTTTTGATTTCTATGCATATCTCTTTTTTATATTTCAATTTCGACCAACCACCTTAACAGACATGTTTATTCCATTTTATCTTCCTCTTTCAGTCACGATTTCCTTGAAACTCATATATATGTACATTAGTATTGCAAACCTAAGAGATGGGAAAAGACAACCAAGCTGCAAAACCTGCTCTAAAACTTATAGACGAGAGCCTATCCAGAAAACACTCACCATAGTTGGTTCAAATTCCAGGGAAATGGCTCCTAATGCATTTTCCAAGATTCCTTTCCTGGTGACATCCATTACCAGTGATTCTGTGGGCTCTGATAGCTTACGAATGTCCCACCACAAGACCTGGAAAAGAACAGCTGTTGTTTTTTATACTTTTCTGGCCTATATTATAGGGGGCTTTGCATTTCATCATCATCCCTGACCATTGACTACACTGGAGGCCCCCAAGTTTTCAACCCTCTTCATAGGTTTGGTGTAGTTGTTCACCATCAGTGCCACACAAAGGCACTCTATTGTGACAGCATTATCTGTGACAAAAATGTACAATTCCGGGGTGATCTTGCACTGTACTTTACCTGTCCATCAGTGGAACCAGAGAAGCAATCGGTTCCAGTTTTTGACTGCAGCCAGATCGCGCTGTACACTGGATCACGATGGCCAAGCTCCACAGTTGTCAATTCCACTGGCAGTCCTCCTTTACGGGTGTCCCAGTAAGCTGAGGGACAGGGGAGGGTCAGTCAATAAGAATGATTAACAGTTCTATAGTTACCTCTTCCATTCAGTTCCTGGCTGCCTTCACTATAATATGTTGCCTGTCTTCCACATGAAAAGAGCTGCTCAGATTCTTCTGAGTCATTATTTTATTTGCCATGTTACTTTTAGGGGGCAAGTTGGGTACCGAAAGATCAGATGAAACAATACAAAATTATCTTGAGGCTATAATGAATGAATTAACTTAGCCAAAATGATAACTGAAATTATTATTATTTGGATTCACCGGTTGCCTTTCTACAGGAAAATAAATCATCCATGATTTGGAGCAAAAGTAGAAAGTTTCCACGTGTTTGAGACAAATGCTGTATCCTTCTGGCCCATGTCAATATTGGCCCATTAGCAAAGATTTATCTTACAGAGGCCCCTGTCTCTTAAAAAACAGGAAGAAGAGCTGGTTTCTGCAGATGCAGCAGAGGATTGGTTTCACCGTCCACATCTCAGTTATAATTAAAGAATTGGAAGTGACAGAATGCAATTCAGTGGGCCATTACGGCATGCCTGGGGAGGCTTGTGAAGGACAAAGTGAAATCTACTCTCTCGTCCATCACCTAAGGAATGCCTGATAACATCCCTCTAACATATACTCTGTCGTATCCAATTGCTGCTGGAAATGGCAACTAATACAATAAAAGGCAGTGTAATTAAATCAAAGGTCACAGGAGAATCTAAAAGTAATAGGCTCATAAATGGAGCTGGCAAATGGGAGACTTTGTGGATCACTCAGAACAATGGTACATTGTGTTAATCAAATGGATGGGGAGGAAATTATGAATAATGATGCCTGGCCATTCTGAAGCAACAATTCACAAAAGCAGTGCTACATCTTACTGTTCCCATTTGAACAACCCCAAGCCTTGGAGCTAAAAAATGGCATTCAATGTTTTCAGCTTGAGTTTCTTGGGTGACCACACTCCTTTCTCAATTTCAGCACCATTTTGTGCTTTCCAAGCTTCTACGTGATTTTTTCCACCTTGAAAAAGGTTAGAAAGATTTTCTGAAGGCATATTGGTAAGGAAAAGGGTTTACACAGAATAGTAAGGCTAACTGCTGTGAGATATCTGTGCGATACAGTGGGACACATGGAATGAATAGAGCGAGTCATCCCATTTTCTGTTTCCTATAATGGGAGCCACCTCCAAAATGAAAGGCATGGGAAACAAATAGGTGTACTAACAGCATTGCTGCTTTACTTTACATATTTTAATTGTTTTAAATTGCATTGTTTTAATTATAATTTATATGTCTATTTGATTTTAATGGTTAATTATGTTTGTATTGTTTGTTTTTGTATAACTATGACATTAAATATTTGCCAAAATTGGAAGCCACTCAGAGTCCCCTCAGGGTGAGATAGAGCAGTGTAGAAATAAAGTAATTTTTTTTCTAGGTTGTTGTATGTTTTTTCGGGCTATATGGCCATGTTCGAGAGGCATTCTCTCCTGACGTTTCACCTGCATCTATGGCAAGCATCCTCAGAGGTAGTGACATAGTGCCATAGATGCAGGCGAAACATCAGGAGAGAATGCCTCTAGAACATGGCCATATAGCCCGAAAAAACCTACAACAACCCAGTGATTCCGGCCATGAAAGCCTTCAACAATATTTTTTTTTCTGTTTTCTTTAGAGCTGTTCCTGCTATTACAAAGTGTGCCTTCAAGTCACCTGTTTACTTATAGCAAGCACATAAAATTCATAGTGTTTCCTGGGGCAAGGAAGACTCAGGGGTGGTTTTGTTATTTCCTTCCTTTGAGATATAGCTATAGCACCTGGTACCTTTTGGTGGTCTTCTACAAAGACATGCTATTTATTCAAGTTGAAGTAGGGAAGGCTGACTACAGAAAATCCTCTGAAAAAGGACTGAGAGATCACAGTGATTATACAACTGTAGTGTTTCTTCAACTTTTTCTCCCGAAATGAGGTGTGTATCAGTAACATGTAATGAAGCTCTTTCTAATTTGAATGGGTCAATTTAAAAAGTTATATTAAATATGATCTGAAAGTGTGCAGGCTGTCCTTTACTTTTCTTTTCAACATTCCCACTGTCAAGACTGGTGTAATGACAACTTCCGCTAGAGCCAAGATAGAAATCATTATACTAAATCAATGCCCCCTTATTTTGGCTTTGTTTGTATTATTTACTTCCTCTTACCAATCTGTCCATTGTAGCATCCCCCAATCAAGATATGGGAATCCTTGGGGTTGTATTCTAAGCAAACAAGAGGTGAGGTGGGCCGGATAACCATTTCTGGTTTGTTAGGGATTTCTAAGAAAGAGGAAAAGACATATATAGTTAAAGAAGAAGAAAAACATGCCTGATATAGAGGTTCCAGTTCTAATATAAGAAATGGAAGATTCATCAGTTTTAATCCCTAAAAGGAAGACAACCAATTCTTTTTCCCAGTATTGATATAAATCACGAAGGACTATAACAGTATAATGTCATATTACTCCCACCCTTATCTGCCTTCAGCAATGATACCCGGAGAGGCATAACTTCTAGAAACTTTGAAGATAATGAACGTTTTTGTGTTCTGAAACATTTCCAGACTGCCCTATTTTCCCCACAAATTTGGGTAAAAATGGGGGAAACACGGTTGTTATGTTTTTTTAAAACTCACAAAGGTATAATATAGTTCATGTAATCTTTGGGAAAATAACATGTAAAATATGTTTTATTCAGACAATAACTATAATTATAGCAACTAAAGATATATTAAGTAGTTATTTTATTTTGTTTTCTAGTTGAATTACAAGATGCTAAATTCTAAGAAATTTAGCATCTCTTCGCTTTTGTCTGATGCTTATAGTTTGACAAAAGGTTGAACTTGACAACAAAAGGGGGGAAATGAAGCTATTATATATTTTGAACTTAGTGTCAGGAAGACATACAAAACATTCACTTTAAAGAAAATAAGCATTTGAGAAAAATGGTGTGTGGGAAGGCAGTTAGGGCTGGTTGCTCTTTTTTATTTTAGTAAACTACATAAAATAAGTTTCATTTTAAGCTATCTCTATCGTCTGTTCCTTCACTTTAGATCATCTTTATGGATATACTGGAAACAGAAAGTTTGCTTGGAATACTCTTTCACATATCAAATAATTTTGTTTTTTTCAGCACAAGACATACTTTTTCATGTGTTACAGCAGTAAGGAAAGAGCAGTCATACAAAGAACTTGATGTCATTTTGCAGGAAGCATATGCTTGACAGAATCACGGGCTGCATTGTTAGACTATTCCTGTAACATCTGAAAGATTTCCAATATTGAGTCCTACCTGTGCTTACAAATAATCTCAGGGGAAAAAAAAACTATATAAGAATATCTTGTAAATATGTAATATGGCTATATAAGAATATCTTGTAAATATGTTAAACTTTTCTGAAAATTTCCAGTTTTTTTGTTTGTTTTTGAGGAGGAAGAGGCTTTCACGCTTTTAATGATCCCTGTTTGCAAATACGCTTGAATTGGAAGATGGGGCAAACTCAAAAATAGAGATGGAGAAAAAAACAAAAACCAGGAGACAGAACTTGTATCTCAGGAGCCACATTACAGAACCTTTGAGATTTAGTCCACAAAATTTACTAAACCGGAGAAAATAATAATTTGCTGGTAAGAATACTAGTAGCCCACATTTCCACATCAGCTTCTTAGCATTATTGTTTTAAAGTCTTCTCCCAGGAAAATGGCAGAGGAAGGACACTGCAATAGATTATTCCTCTATTGGTCTATTGCGTTTCCCCTCTAGTCACAGGAGAAGACGCTACCAGATAAATTGGTAAATACGTAAGCACTGGGCAAAATCAAGATCAGAGGAACTTGCTGCTTTCTTTACTTCAGGTAGCACGGGCATAACAGCAAAAATGAATGCTTCTTAATAGAGAGCAGTCAAGAGAAAATATCCCAGAATATTTTTCTTTCATCTCTCAGTATAACCAGAGACTTTTTATAGCAGCTCACCAGTTCAGTTTATTTTAACCCAGTATAAAATTGATTTTTTTCCCATGTCAGGATCGATTTGAGAAACTGCAAGTTATTTCTGGTGTGAGAGAATTGGCCATCTGCAAGGACGTTGCCAGGGGAACGCCCGGATGTTTTAACATCCTGTGGGAGGCTTCTCTTATATCCCCACATGGGAAGCTGGAACTAAGAGATGGGAGCTCACCCAGATCCCCGGATTTGGACCGCCAACCTTTCGGTCAGGAGTCCTGCCAGCACAAGGGTTTAACCCATTGCACCACTGGGGGCTCCTATAAAATTAAATAAGACCAGGATTAACATCTGGTATTGGGTGAACCATCTGTCTAGGAAAATCACACACTGCCGGCATTGCCTGTCTTTCTCTTCTTACCCAGATCCCAGATGTATGAGTCAAAGCTCATGTCTTTTGAACTCCGTTGAAACTCCAAGCTAGAATAAGATACTGCCAGTTTTCGGCTTCTGTCAGGGTGCCAGGAGAGATGTGTGGCTGTTCTTTTGATGAGGTTTGGATCCCTTTTGGATAAATCAAAAGAAAGTGGCATTCATTGGCTTAAAACATGGTAGGCTGTACCATGACATTGATAGGCATTTATTATAGCATTGATCATTGTGGAAAAGGCACTACAGAAATCTTTCATTGGGATGGTTAGCGGGAAAACTACACAAATATTTGTAAGCTTTGATTCCAAACAAATTATTTTGGAAGGCATTGGAAGTCTTTGAAGGCGGCTCTGAGACTGCAGTTAGTATAAAGGTTGGCAGCCATATTAATAGTGGGGCTAGCTATAGGGAGCATACCACGCCCTTATTAAAGCAGCTCCACTGGCTTCCGGCAAGTTTCTGGGCCCAATTCAAAATGCAAGTTATCACCTTTAAAACCCTATACATTTCAGGTCCAGTCTATCTTTGAGACCGCATCTCCTTCTATGAACTGGTGCAGGCTCTGAGATCTTCCGGAGAGGCCCTTCTCTTGGTCCCACACTGTATCAAGTACAGTTGGCGAGGACGAGAAAGAGGGCCTTCTCAGTGGTGGCTCGCTGGCTCTGGAATGCCCTCCCTAGAGAGATTAGGTTAACCTCCACACTCCCCCTCGATGGACTGTCACCTTGTCGTGGTGAGGGGGCTTGCGCGTTCCAATGAACCTGTAGGCAC